GTCAGCTTTATCGAAGTAGGAAATATGCGCAATTCAGTATAAAATCCTGACAATTGCCTGTCTTCGAAACAATGGTGAGATGACGCTGGTGCACTGTTTCTTGTTTCGAAACATGTCAATATTTGCGAAACTTGGTGGCCTCTGCGTTCACCCGGGGAACAGACAGTAGAACGGGGTAGATATTAGTGCACTCTTGGAACGGGAACGCAACTGCACAATTCGAAGCGCGTCTTGTTCCTCACCAAGAGGAAGCGGGATTTGATGGGGTGTCTTTGGAGGGTCGTGAACGTATTGGTCGGGTTCCTGACGCGCTTCGGGTCGATCCTGCCCGCCTCGGAAGAGCTGGTGGAGCTAGCCCAACCAACCACCCACATTTTCACGACGCGTCTCCATACCCTGGACCCATCACTTAGGCCATCGACGAAGCATGAGCTTTCACACGTGCTGCTATTCTACACTCGGCGGTAAATGAACGAGACGGCAGAGATACAGGCCGACAGCTCTGCTCGATCGCTGTCTTTGACCCGTGATGCGACCTGCGGCACGTCTGGGCGGCGGCTAGTCGTCACACACCAAACACGCGCGTTGACACACGGTACAACCTTTCCCGCTGCTTGCTTCAACAACCATGTTCGATTCAATACCGAGGTCTCTACTCGCGACTTTTGCAGTTGAACCTCTCGGTATCGAGCACAGCGTGCCAACAACACTCTACGCCGGGAAGTATATGCGTGCTCAAGGCTCGCGCATAGCGCACAAGTCATTCAGCTGTTCCTGGTCCCATCCTTCGCGACAGCTGTTCGCATTCGGTCCGGTCCGCGCTTTGGCTTCCCAGGCACCACGGCCGTCCCGAGGACCGGCATGAGAATGGGCGGCTATCGCTAGGTCTACCTACTATCCATCGCATATGGGGAGCGCAGAGCCAATACTCTAGGCTGCTAAATTACACTTCCAGCCTCTTACTCAATCTGTCCTTGATCTGATAGCAAACACGAGCCGAGATACAGGCAGACCCTGGTTGTGGTAGGTGTTCGATTGGATATCGAGCTGTAGTATGAGCACGGCGTAGCTAAAGCGATATGCAAGCACGGCACATACTTCTCATGAACTCAACAGGTCATGAGCAAATGTTTATATCCCTTCATGTGGGACTATTTCTGGTATGCGGCACTCATTATTTTTACTCACTCTCTATTCTCTCATTCGCTTCCTGCAGCCCTGCGTGCCTGGCCGGTCCAGGTTCAACACCAGGAATACATTCTTTATTAATATTTGTTAAAAAATAACTTTGGATTGCACCCATGCGGCTGCCTTACCGGTCCATCAGCAGCATCCAGCCACTCCCTAGCATATATACCACCTTTCCAGCCAACTACGGCGGCTCCGACTCAACGAACACGTCTGGAATTCATTCCGGAACATGTCTCATCAGAAAGATCGAGGATGGGATCGAGGCGGTCCCTTTCGAAAGGAGTAATGTTCTCTCGGCTCCTATACTCAGTCCAGATCAAGAAGAGAAAGAAGTCTTCGTGCCGTCGTGGGAGGAAGTCCATAATTTCAACAAACCTCTGCCTAGCCTTCCAAGATGCATATGGCAGCGAATTTCCACGCGGCAACGTATTTTAGCTTTGCTGAGTTTACAATTTCTGATGCTCCTTACGATTGGGCTGAGTCTTCTGGCTGTCAAAGATCGATCCTCAACCAGGTAAGATGTACGAAGCCAAAAATAAGGATGCCATTAACATAGAATCTATAGCGATGATGATGCGACAGCACACGTTGCTAGCAATGGCCCTCCAAGTACCAACATCACCAACAACCTCCAACGTGGAATCTTTGCGTTACCTGTTGAACTTCCGCAGCAGCAGAGTATGGCATGCCTGGCAAGCAAGGATCAGACCAATGCGTGGCAATGTGCATCTAACTCAACCTTTCAACTAAGTATACTTCCAGCTCTGGCGGGCAATGACAGCGCAATCATGGTCGCGGTGGGACCACCGCGCAGCAACGACACCATCCGCCATGGCGAACGCATACCGAACATTCCACCTTTGGAGCTTGTAGCAATTAACAATGCTGAGCACGAAAACGATTTTGCCTATCGCTTCCGCACTACCTACGACAAGATTGTATTGCTCAGTGAGGATGAGCTATCTCTGGCTGGAGAGCTACTGCTGCATCCTGCGACTTCGAACACTCTATTCCAACCTGGGGATAGTCTGTGGCAGTGCATCTTCAATGAGACCACTGTTGAGGGTTACATCTACCCTACCAGAGCTACAACTGCCAGCGCTACCAATACTGCATCAGGCACGGTCGATGTGGATAATTCCACTACGCTGCCAAATTTCCCCTACGCCGTTAGGTTGGTCGAAAAGTGGACGCCAGATGGAAAGACCCCTTACTGTTCGAAAATGACTATGAAATCGGACGGTACCCTTGCTCCACTTTCGGAGGAGGTGATGTTGCGTTTGGACAATTCCAGGGGTAATGTTCCAGTTTCCACATCGCAACGTATGGGACGTATTAGGCATCGAGAGCAACGGGAAGAGGCGCATTTGAGCCAGTGTCAGTGTCAATGGGTGGTCAGCTGACGCAGGGTTTTCGATCTTACCTTCGACAGACAATGCCATAAGTTCGCCAAAATCGTCTTCTTTGCGCTGATCCGACGTCTTCATTACATTTCCATTTAAGCATGCTTACATCAAAACATTACCAAAACAGCTTACGTGTCTTTATCCGCGAAGAACAGGTGGTCGATTGAATATTGGGCCCATGGCTCCACCCAGGACCCTTTTTCCTGGGTACACCCACACATGACATGCCACACTGAGTAGACGACCAGCGAAATTTGTAATTGCCCTGCAGATCTCACAGCGTCTTCCGCGTCCAGGCCTCTCCCCGATCACGTTGTCCCATCGTCGGCATCCGATGGCACATCACCGGGCTCTATCTTTACTCACTCATCAAGCATTTCGATTGTCTGAACACTGTCTTGCACGCCCACCTGCATTCAATTATCCAGCAACATCGTCGAAGATTGCTAGGACAGGGAACGAGTTTTGCGTCGCAATCATCTACTATACTATTGAAACCAGATCAAGCAAGCCAGCCTTTGGCATACGATGGGCCCCAAGATCACCGAATCCAGGCGAGGCTCTTCAGCAAGAGATGCTCGTGCACAAAGCAAGAATGTTGTGCCTCCAAGGACTCCCGAAATCATACAAATACCTGGCCGGTTCAGCGCGCTTGGAACTGAAAGCACTATAGCAGTAGTGGGAAGAAAGCAAGAGACTCGCGCACGAGTGAAAGTTGAGCCCGAGAGTCCCGATAACACGGTATACCCAACCTCGCCAGTATCCCGACGTCGAGACTACAAAGAAGAAGCGAAAACAGTCAAACCCGGAGGGCCTTCCTCCCGCCATCATACAGTTCACATCAAGGTCGAAGACAAAGCCGATCTCGAAACACCACCACATTACCCATCCTTCACAACAGCATGGTCCAAATCGCCACTCCGCGTACCAACCCCCCTCGCTGAACAGTTCTACCGATCTACAGTAGTCAAGAAGGAGAGCGATGTTTCCTTAGTACATAGGGATGTACTGTCACTTCGCAGCCAAACTTCAGGTCCGTCGGTTAGCTCGAGCTACAAGAGGTTCGCTGTCGAGACTTTCCGTGACTTCGACGCGTCACACCCAGCCTCCAAAGTCAAGATAGAAGAGGAACCGGAAACGGGATACTACATTCCGACAGGAGCGAGCAAAGTCAAGCATGAAGCGGGATCTTCCCCCACAAACCTCCACCACCGTCCCAGCCCCACAGACTATCCCAATCCATACCACAGAGCGCCTGTAAAACATGATCCAGCATCAAACTCTTCACCCGACCTCAGGCGCACACGAAGCCACTGCACCGTCGCACCAACGCCAGAACTCCGCTCCGAAACCAAATTCTCCTACCTCCAACCCATCACACCCACACCCTTCAGCACCCCCTACGGTCTCGTCAACCCCTACCCTCCCGATCCATCATCATACCTCGTCCCTGGGTCCTTGATCGAAGGAGTTCAACGGCGGACAAAGTGGGGCCAGAGAGATAGACGAACAAAACGGGTACCGCCAGGTCTGAACCCACGAGGTGTGCCCGCAGCCGAGGGTGTTGCTAGTGATAAACAGAACGCTACAAAAGTAGGAGCGGAGGGGACTGGAAGTGGCACAAAGTGTGCATGGTACAGAGTTTCGCTTTGCAAATGCTCCAAATGGGTTAATTGTATCAAGGCGAAGTGCTCGCGAGCTGCTAAGAGGAAGTGGTGGCAGAGAAGTAAACAGCATCAGTACACCACGGAAAGGAGGGAAGACAGTGGTTTTTATGTTGTGAGGCGGGAGATCGGTCCTAATCTCAGGGTTACGGTTCGAGATGTTTGAACTATGTGGGAGTGGTGGTCGGACGATCCATGGGAGTGATCATCAACCTGGGGTAGTATTGGGGTGGGAATGTCAGCTTCGTTATCGAGGACGGTGCCTTGGAAGGTGCTTGGGAAGGCGCATTTGGGGCTGTGCGGACTTGTCCTGTATTGTGCACACATACGCTACACGCGATTGGCCAGGTGTTGCCCCAATTCTCACCGGGATTACAAGAAGCAATCCCCATGCATGTGTAGTCAAAATACCAGTAGCGCAATACAAAGCTATGTTGTTCATGGCGCCTTCCAATAGTAAGCGATCGGTGTTGTCATGTGGATCCCGAACGGCTCGTTGCCAACATAGAAGGTGCAAGGCTGGAGTTCAATCTCGCTCTCTCGCCCCCACACCTCGACCACAGCCTTGTGCGACATCGAAAGGCTGAAACGCCATGTTTAAGAAACGGGTAGCAGCACATTTTATATTCCAGATGGCTCACTCCCCAGCCTTCTACCACTTCCCGTCTTACTGCGAAAGTTTGCGTCCCCTCTTCGCCGTCTGGCCGACATGAGTTCTCAACGTTACAGCTCACTCGGCATGCCTGGAGTCAGCGCTTCAGAGATAGAAGGATATGAGTCCGAGTCCCGGTAATTCATATTCTGCGACAAGGCTTAACTTTGCGATTGACAATCGCAGACCGCATGGGCTCGCCACGGAGGTCTCCTCGATTAGCCTTCTGTCTGAGCACAGCTTCACCTTCGAATACGATCACCAACAGGACGTTGATAGCACTCAATATCAACAGAACGGCAACGTCAACTCATTCCAACAGAATGCGAGCGTCCACAGCTACCCGCAGAATTTTCATGCGGGTGCGGTTGATCAACCGTCCGATGTCTATTTGGAGAATCATGTAGCTGGTCTCACATCAGAGCACATCGACAGTCAGGAGACCGATGCCTTCCAAGATGTAGATTTCAGTTCATTCGGCCAACCTCTTCGCCGCTTCTACTTCCGCACGATAGTCGGCATCCTGGGACCGCTGATCGTAGTATCTTATCTCATCACCATCTGGCGCATCTACCTCGCCCCACTCCACCCCAACTCAACAATAGCCTTCGGACCACCGGGCGCTAAATGGGTGTTCTATAGTTGGTTCGTCGCCGGAGTGATCGGTCTGAGCCTGAGTCTTTACGGCCTGGCTGGTGCCGAGGCTGGTATGCTCATGGAACGAACTTGGAGGGTTGAAGATGCCATGCGTCTTATGTTGCATGCTGATAACACATGGTCTGGCCCCGGTGGCTGGATGAAAGCAATCAAATGGGTCGTGGAGATGCGCAGGGTGCGCAACCAGCATAGCAAGTTCCCTTCTCGGCTGTGGTTTGTTCTGGCACTTCCAAGCGTGGTTGTCTTCGTGGCTTGGCCCTTATCAGGTCTCTGTCTTGAGATGAATAGTGGTTTCCTTCACGGTAAGCCAGGGAAAGGAGCGGATGTTACTGGATTCGTTCAATCGACGTTCAACGCCATCCTTGGGGGTCGCAAACCGTCTCGAGGAACCTACATCGGCGCGCGTGTTTTCGGACATGGTGCTGTTTACACACCTGAAAACTTCGATCGATCGAAGACCGAGTTTCTGAACAATGTTCCGGTGATACTGCCGAACACTGAGAGCATCGAAGAAATATTTTTGACCGCTCAAGGTGAAACTCCTATCGAGGGAAAAGCTTGGGGTCTGTTGTTACATTACGACTGCAAGATCGTAGACAAATTGTCTGATTTCGTTCTCTTGAAAGACCGTCGATCTTCAATAGATGTCTGGGGAAGGAAATCTATCTTTCCCGAATTCGAACGAATAGAAACTGCACGAAAAGCGGATGAGGATCCTCCCATCGACGCATTTACAACAACAGCCTCCCCGTTGGGCCTGACTGACAGCCTTGCTCCAGCTGCTACCTCCACCTCGCCTCCTGAACCGAGCGCATTTCCGACTTCAAACTGCACAAGATGCGCCGCTTTGAATTATGAGAAACAAGTCAAGTATATGTCGTACCGTCTCCATGACAACTGCACCTTTGTAGAGGTGAAGAAAGAGCCCGGAGGAGATTTCGGTCCAGGTATCGCTGCCGCTCTAATGCAACGGGTAACGAACGTCGGTGCAGTCATAGAGACTGCGTATCAATCCCTGCCGCCACAAATACGCTCGAACGACGAACCACCCTGCGGCTGGCTTGATAAGCTGGAAAACCCGGCAACGTCTTACTGCTACCATGATTTGCAGGAGAATCCTTCCAAACCGTATCCCGGAATTGAGCACAAGAGAACTTTTGAGGTTCTGTTGTGGCAGAAACTTTACCCCTTATCAGGCTCTCAGAACAGTACCATTGTCCGTACTATCGAGTCTCTCACTGGTGAGTACGTCGCCGACAAGGATGAGGGCCTCAAAGCGATTGGTGTGTCCTGTACGTCGAGCAGCAGTGTAGGCTCAGCAGACATCGATGGCGTGAGCTCTACTTACTCCAACTTCCAACGGAGCGACACTCCGGTACCTCGTCGAAAGGATGATTGTGCGAAACGCTTTGGCGTAGAGACACTCGCGTGTACACTCAACATCACCGACGATGGTTGGTTGAAGTGGATGTATGACTCAATAGGCCTGCCGTCACCCCTTGACACGTTTATAGAAGATCCTGGAGAAGCGGATGTCGATGGCTTCATGAAAGTTAACAATCAGCTCGAATATCTACAAGCCGATCAACTTCGACGGGTTCTTCTACAAGCGTACTCCACTTACGCTATCAAACTCATGTACAATAACGGTCAGGATTTCATAGGCGTCAACAAGACACGCCTCAAGTCACACGTTCCCGACCTCACAGCTTTCATCACTGGCACCGTGATTGAGCCGGGCGTAATGCCAGCCGCTGTTCCCGTTGCGTTGTTCGGACTATGGGCACTAATTAGCTCCGGACTTTGCCTTATCTATGGCTTCAGGCGACGATGGAGTGCGATCTTGGACGGGCATACGGTTTTCAGGCTTGGGGCCGAATTGCAACAGACGTACCGGACGAGACTGCAGCGGTGTTCTACGATTGCTGATGTTGAAGAGTGCGAGGCTTTGCATGAGATTCCAGGATTCGTTGCTGACATGGAACCTGATAATGATGTGGGGAGAATTGGGCTTATGGATGGGAAGCCGGCTAGGAAAGACAAGTTTTATCGGTAGTGAATTGTGTAGTCAATGTTGTACGTAACGTACTGTGCAGTAGCGAATACCCACAAGGAAGCACTTATGGAGAAAGAGGAATTTGATCAAAACGTGTCTTTATCGTCAAAAAAAGTAGTATGCGTATCGAACGCTCTATCACTGAAATAATATTTACAACCAACGTAATTTCCTCTTGCATATATTTTCCTATGTCATCAGAATTTCCGTCAAGCGATCTAGAAAGCAAGCAAGACGGCACCCATAACAGCACCGACAAGGCCGCCGGCCTTGACGTGGCTCGCTGCACCAGTGAACTGCGATGGTGGGGCAGAGAAGGTAGCGTTGCCAGAGGGCTGAGGCAGCGCACCGGTAGGCGCGATTGATGGCACAACAACACCAGGTGCGGACCTAGTGTCGATCTCCAGACCAGACTCGGTGGGGTAAGGAGGCAATGAAGCTGCCGCGGAAGTGATCAGACTGGAGATGGGCACGGCAGGGTACTCAGTCGTGAAGGTGGCGGGTGGTGCGTTGGTGATGGCTGGGGGAGCGCCGGTGACGGTGACGGTAGCAGTACCGCACTCGCAAGGCTCATCTTCGCTGTCGCTGCCGGTAGGAGAGTCAGGGCTGCCTGACTCTTGGGGGACAGCGGCGCCGCCGGTGGGGTAGTTGAAACCGGATCCGCCGTTGCCGCCAGCTGGGACAGCAGGAGGTGTGGGCTTTGCTGCGTCGCTCTCTGTGCAGGTGGTGGATGCACCGGAGGGCTTTGAGTCGGAACCGCTGTCAGAACCACCAGTAGCGGCTGGGGCGTCGATGCCAGACTCGATGGGAGCTCCGGTAGCGGCAGCGGAGTCCTCGATGGCTACGCTGTTCACGGGGGCACCCTCTGTGTTACCGGCATCGATGACCTTGATGGACTTGAAGTCGCCAGTCTTGTCGGTCCACTCATACTCTTTGCCGGGCGAGTAGTTGATTACCTTGATGCTCTTGACGGTCATGGTGAAGGGCGCATCGTCGTAGGTGACATTGCCTCCGGCCCACTGGCGAGTGCCTTCATCCTTGGAGTCACCGCCTGGCCAGTTTCCGAGACGAACATTGCAGGGGGTCTGAGGGTAGTTCTTGCCGCCGTTGGCATCGGCAAAGTTCAGTGTGCGGGTAGGTTTGTCATCAACAATCCAGGTGAGCGATTCAGAAGTCCAGTTGAGAGCATACTTATGGAACTCGTTCTGGTTGTTAAGTGCATCGGCCTCGATCATGCGATCGTAGGTGGTAGTGTTGCCCTGACTGGTGTTAATTTCTTGAAAAGCAAGTGCAAATTGTGCTGTTCACATACCTTGCCGAAGTAGTTCTGCTGTACACGGCTGTCCACACCACCAATCCATTCCCAGTCGACTTCATCCAAGTTGTCAGACTGAAGGACGATGGAGGAGATGATGCCAACGCCGGGAGCTGCCTTCATAACGACTTCGACGTATCCAAAGTGAAGCATGGCCTCGGATCCAATGGTGGGAGCATCACCCTTCTTGGCAACAGTGAACTCAGCACCCTCAGGTCCATACTTCAGTTCACCGGCAGTCTGCTTCCATCCCTTGATAGCATCCTTTCCGGCAGTGAAGTCGGTTTCCCAATTCTGCGGCATGGCAGGGTTGTTAGGGCATTTCTTCTCCATGGGGTTGCAATCGGTGAAGGTCTGAGCGGTGGCCAGAGCAGCCAGCACGCTCGCCGTAGTGTATGTGGAGAAATGCATGGTGGATATCTCGGTAAAGTCTAGTTGTTCGAGATAAGTTGATAAGACAAAAAGAAGTAGTCGTCCGAGATGTGCTGTATGGAGTCGTTTCACACGCAAGACACAATGTCAACAATGCGTAGAGTGGTGTTAAGGAATGTAGTGCTTCGCAAGCGAGCGTTGAAAAGAATGTAGTGACTGAGGTCGACCTGCGTCCAGAGAATCGACTGAGAGAGTGTGAAGTATGAAAGGTTAGACAAAGAGTGCAGGCCAGTGCTGCGTGTCAGAGGAGCACCGACTATTAAAAGTCACGAAATGCTATACGAAGCAATCTCCCCTGCGCGCCAGGACGCGCATCAGCGGCCAGCGGCCGAAGTCCATGCGGCTTCTCAAGCCCATGCAACATGTCTCCAGTTCAAGCGCTGCGTAGACCTGAATGGTCGTGATGGCTCTCCTGAAGTGTTTCACCAGCCGTCTGTGGAGACTAGGGCGTGTCAGGATAGTCGAGCCGCGGTGCCCGTTCTGGCGGCGACGCCGCAGGCGCCTATCAGAATGGAGAAGTGCCTGGCATCATCTGGCTCATGTTTCTTCTTCCCAGCCACTAATTCTTATGCTTTGGGAGTTGGCCGGCTGCGTGGATGTGGCTGTGCCGCTGCGCCCAGCAAGTGGGAGGGATTGACGTTTCCCGTCATTGCGATGCGCACCTGGGCAGCCCTGACAGCTGGAGCGATGCGCGCTCTCCTATCTAATCTTGGCGATCATCCGTCTATCAATGACGTCTCTCCAACGGCCGGTTGCAAACATGTCGGCGCAAAAAAAGACGCGCGGAGAGGTTGCAAAGGGGCATGTCTGACAGGCGCAGTTTGGTAGGCGGCGCAGTCGCTCCGACGCCCGGTGCCAGACATGTGAGATGCAGGTGTACACGGGGCGCTACCCAGAAATAGCTAGTAAGCTTTTCACTTGATTTTTTTCTGGCTACCAAGATTCACGACTGAAGCCGAAGCTCACTTGCGCCCGTGGGCAGGGCTCACTTTCGGCACGTGACTCATCGCTACACCGCCTTCTAGGGCTCGCCCCGCCGTTGCCCCTCGGTGGCAGAATTATTCGAATTTCACGTGTGACGAAATATACATGCCCATGCCGATCCTTCAGATCCTGTAAACATTCCACACACAACCAACTATGGCCACCACCGACGGAGGAGTAGCGCTGCCACAGCAACAACATGAAGAAGTTGACCAAGTTGAAAAGCCAGTCACAAACGAAACGCCCACCAACGATGACGATAACGAAATTGACGACCTTTTCGAAGACGAAGACGAAATAGTGCCAGAACTAATATCGGGCGACCACCATGACTTCACCAAAGCCTACAACCGCCAGCGAAAGCTGAACGACACGAACATCCCAGACGATCACAAGCCCAAGTCGAATCCACAGAAGCCGTCCGCGAACACAAACGCCTCCATCGACGACCAAGTCGCCTCCCTCGCGAAGCATGCGGGCAAGATTCGCCTCACCGGGCGCATGATGGGTGCGTCCGGGGGTAACGCAAGGGACAAGGACAAGGCAGACCGCGCGACAACCGAACAAGTTTTGGATCGGAGGACGCAGATGATCCTGCTGCAACTCATCAACCGCGGCGTAATCTCAGAGATTCACGGTGTCATCTCCACGGGCAAAGAAGCCAACGTATACCATGCGATGACCGAAGCCGCGGAAGAGGACGCCGACCCCATCCACCGTGCCGTCAAGGTGTACAAGACGTCCATCCTTGTCTTCAAGGACCGCGCGAAGTACGTCGAGGGCGAGTTCCGCTTCAGGCAGGGATACAACAAGAGCAACAACCGCGCCATGGTACGGATGTGGGCAGACAAGGAACGCAGGAACCTCGCAAGGATACACGATGCAGGCATTCCATCACCGATGGCGCATGCGCTGCGGAATCACGTCCTTGTCATGGGCTTCGTCGGTGACCGCAAAGGCAAGGCAGCGCCCCGTCTGAAGGATGTGCGCTTTGAGGGTCTCACGGCAGAGGAGGAAGACGCGAAGTGGACAAGTCTATATCTCGAGATGCTGGCGTACATGCGCATCATGTACCAGACATGCCGTCTTGTCCACGCAGATTTGAGCGAGTACAACGTCCTGTACCACGAGGGCAAGCAGTGGATCATCGATGTCTCACAAGCTGTCGAACACGACCATCCTCGCTCTCTCGAGTTCCTGCGCATGGATGTCAAGAACGTGTCCGACTTCTTCCGCTCCCGCAACGTCGAGACGCTGAGTGAGCGCAAGGCTTACGCCTACATCACCAGCGCGGCAGGCGCGAAGACTGTCAAAGAGCAGACGCAGATGGAAGAGAGCATCCGCACCCTCCTAAACAAAGAGCCATTAACCGAAGAGGAGCGGAAAAAGGAGGAAGAAGACGACGACGTCTTCCGCAACCAATACATCCCCCAAACCCTCGAACAAGTCTACGATATCGAGCGCGACGCCGAGCTCGTCAACGCCGGTGGTGCTTCCGACCTACCATACCAAGCCCTCCTTGCTGATAACGTCGTTAACAACGGCTCCGATGCCTCTGATGCTGAGTCAGATGATGGGAGCTCAGGATCTGAGGTTGATCAGAGTATCTTCGACAAGGGCCCTAGCCGTGGAAAGAAGCATGTCGATCATGACGAGAAGGTAGCGCATAAGAAGGCTATCAAGGAAGAGAAGCGTGAGAAAAGGAAGGAGAAGATGCCGAAGCATATGAAGAAGAAGTTGGTGAATGGGGGTGGGCATAAGAAGAAGTGAGCGTGGATGTCATCTGGACTTGCAGTCTTCTCGCGAGCGAGGGGAGTATCTGAGCCTTTGCAAGTGCGACCACTATATGGGTACATGCCGCGGTTTTCACGTGGCATATAGAAGAACAGAGAAGGAGCCTACCAGGCCACCGCAGTAGGGTCATCAAAGTGCGTGACCAACTGGCTCATGGCGCTACCATCGGCTCCCCTACACAGGAGCTTGGTCTTCCTGAGTCGTACCTGATTCAGAAGCCACCCCAGGGGTACATGCTATCACATGCTCTCCGGGTCCTTGGTACAAGTCAAGAAAAGGAAGCTTCTTCGTAGCAGGCCTTTGTCTGCCATGGATATTCAGGTTTTGTGTGGTACGCTAGAGAGATGCGATCGAAGTTGTTGAAGTAGCATGAATAGAATATTACTCAATCATGTAGTCAAATGTTCCGTCTTCTTTTATAGCATATTCTTCCTCCACGCTCTCGTCCCCAGCTTCTCGATCTCCGGTACTTCAA